GCCTGAGCCCGAGGGTTCAAGACCAGCCTGGGCAACTTGGCAAGACCTCGTCTCTACAATAAATCGAAAAATTCAGCTGGGCGTGGTGGCACATGCCTGTGGTTCCAGTTACTTGGAAGGCTGAGGCGGAAGGATCACCTGAGCCCAGCAATTGAGGCTGCGGTGGCTGTGGGCCTGCCACTGCGTTCCAGCCTGGGTAACAGAGTGAGACTCCAGCTCAAAAAATAAAACAAAATAAAATACCCAGCCACGGGTAGTCTTTAATAGCGGCACAAACAGACTAAGACACCATCAATCCACTTTAGTGTGTAGGAGGTTTTCCATAATAAAAAGTAAAAAACAAAAACATCTTTGACACAGGTATTATTAGCATCATCTTACAAATGAAGAAAATTGAGACTCAGAAGTTTAAGGTTGGGCACAGTGGCTCATGCCTGTCATCCCCACACTTTGGGAGGCTGAGGCGGGAGGATTGCAGGAGGGCAGGAGTTGGAGTCCAGCCTAGGCAACAGAGTGAGACCTCACCTCTACAAAAATACAATAATTATCTGGGCGTGGCGGCACCCACGCCCAGCAACTTGGAACCCAGCTACTTGGAAGGCTGAGGTGAAAAGATCGCCTGAGCTCAGGAGGTCCAGGCTGTGGGGAGCCGTGATCGTGCCACTGCACTCCAGCCTGGGCAACAGAGTGAGACTCTGACTCCAAAAATAAATAAATAAGCAAATAAAAGAAGTTTAAATAACTTGCCCAAGTTCACACAACTAGTAGAGCCACTATGATTGATGTTAAATCTGGAGGATAAGCCGGGCTCGGTGGCTCAGCCTGTAACCTCACGCCTTTGGGAGGCTGAGGTGAGTGGATTGCCTGAGCCTGCGGGTTCGAGACCCGCCTGGGCAACTTGGCGAGACGTCATCTCTACAATAAATCAAAAAATCAGCCGGGCGTGGTAGCGCATGCCTGTAATTCCGGCTACTCGGAAGGCAGAGGCGGGAGGATCGCTGGAGCCCAGCGGGTCGAGGCTGCGGTGGCCGGGAGCGGCCACTGCACTCCAGTCTGGGCGACCGAGTGAGACTCCGACTCAAAAAAAAAAAAAAAAAAATCTGGAGGATAGGGGAACTCTTCCCATCCCACACCGCTGCTATCCCAACAGTCATCATACTGCAAAATTGTGGAGCACATGTGAGTTCACAAAGAGGCTTCACAGACACCGTGTCATCTGAGTTGTCATGTTAAGATGCAGTGGAGGCTTTCTCATTCCCATCATTACATAGGATACCCCGCTTCTAGAGGACTGCATACAGCTTCCTACGGCCTCTAGGCAAGCACAACTGAAGTCTTTCCTTTTTTTTTTTTTTTTTTGACTGTTAAAAAAAGTTAATTGGGCATCCACTAGTCTAAGATGGCTCCAGGGCTTTGGGTCCCTAAGGCATAATCAAACTCACTGTACATGGTAAAAGGAAATTTAAGCTTCATGAATCAGAGACTATCAAAGTAACTTCTAACTAGGGACTTTCCACTTTTCAAAAAATTTTTATTTTTTTTATTTTTTTGAGGCAGAGTCTCACTCTGTCGCCCAGGCTGGAGTATAGTGGCACATTCACGGGCACCATAGCCTCGACCTCCCGGGTTCAGGAGATCCTTCCACCACAGCCTTTCAAGTAGCTGGGACTACAGGTACACAGCACCATGCCCAGCTAATTTTTGTATTTTTGTAGAGATGAGTTCTCTCCATGTTGCCCAGGCTGGTCTTGAACTCCTGGACTCAAGCAAACCTCTCACCTCAGCCTCTCAAAGTGCTGGGATGAGAGGTGTGAGCCACCACTCCCATCTGGGACTTGCCACTGTAACCAACCAAATAGAGTTTTTTTTGTCTTGCATCCACAAATGCCTCATAAATGTTTTCTCTCTTGCCTCCCCTCGGTAGAACACTGAACCACTTGTGGTCTGGTGCTGCCCGATTCATGAATCATTGAATGCTCAAATCACCCTCCAAGGCTTATGTGTTTACACTTCTTTAAAGCTATCCCACTCCTCTGCCTGTCTTTGAGTCTCTGCCAAAACGCACATGAATGTGGCTTGTTCCCTTGTTGCAGCAAGCTCAGGATAAATAGCCTTTGCATTTCTCATTAGATTGGTCCCTACTTCTATCCACAGTTGATTTAACAACAAAAATTTAATAGTAAGGCAAATAAACCCAGTTACTCAACATCCACCTTTGTTCAGTTTATTTATATGGAAGAGAAGGAAGCAAACCTCTGTTTTGTCTGGGTCGACTTTTTATCTTGCACCTGTAGAATAAAAGCCCACAGTTACCCTATACTGTTCAACCAAAAGAGAGTTAGCCATGCTGGGCATGGTGGCTCATGCCTGTAACCCCAGCACTTTGGGAGGCTGAGATGGGAGGATGGCTTGAGTCTAGGAGTTTGAGACCAGCCTAGACAACATAGAGAGAACTCATCTCTACACAGAATCAGCTGGGCGAGGTGGTATGCATCTATAGTCCCAGCTACGCAGGAGGCTGAGGCGGGAGATCACTTGAGTCCAGGAGTTAGAGGCTTTGGTGAGCCATGATCATGCCACTGCACTCCAGCATGGGCACCAGAGTACGACCCTGACCTCAGAGAGAAAGAGAGAAAGAGAAGGAGAGGGGCTCATGGGAGAGCCCTGTGGCACTGATCTCTAAACCTGGAACCAGGTGAATCTCGTCACTTCTGTCCTCACCAGTGATTCTTGGTTCATCTTTTTTGAGTTAACTCAAAGACATTTTCACGGTAAGAATTTTTTTCTGACCTTTGGAGCACCTTATCTCAGGAGATTGTCATTTGACCAAAAAACAAAACAAAACAAAAAGCACATCTCCCTGTAAGCCATCCGTGGACTTGCTAAGCAGTGGCCATCAGAAAAAAGAAAAAGAAGAGAGAAAGAGGAAGAGGAGGCCAGAAAATAAGAAAGTAAAAGCGGTTCTGAAACTCAGGAGCGACAGCTTGTCCGATGTCACAGGAAAGACTGCGTCTTGCCTTGAGGGAAGTGGCCACTTTAAATCAAGTTTCATTAAAGCGCAGGGGTTAGGAGTTGCTAAGGCAACTGGGTTAGAAATTGTAAATTAAGAAGCGTGGTGTGAAGTTTACCAGGGGAGAGGGCCGAGGGGTCCTTCCTCTCCCATTTCTCTAAGCAGGCAAAGGTCGTTTCGGAGAACAGTGTGCCCGGGTTACCGGAAGCCCTAGAATAAACCCAGGGCCTCATTCTGGAGGAGCTTTTCAACTAACACGAATTAATTAAGGGGAAAAGCCTGGAGTTCTTGCTTCTTCCAGGGCTGACAAGAGGAGAAGCAAAGACCTTTGCTGAAATGAAATGTTAACAAGACAAGTGTGATCAGGCTGTCACCTAAGATTAGGCCCAGGACACGCTTTCAGGACTGGCTAAGAATGAATTTGACTCTTAGATACACTTACCCTCTATGATGCTGTGCAGTTGAAATGCTCACTTGCTTCTCTTGTCAATATATTGTGTTTGGGAGTGAGAATCCACAGCTGCGTAATTGCATACACCAAACCAGAGATGCCACCTTGAATCTCTGGAGCCACATTCAATGCTCAAATGCTGTGACTTTGCCCTCTACCCTGCCAGGTCTCCTGATTAATTCGAGGCCAGCAGTACTAGGCGAGCCCAAAAGCCAGCAGACCTAAGTGTACAAACTGGAGTGTGCACCCATCCACCTATCCATCCACCGAACCATATAAACTGTAGTGTATATCCATCCATCTATCTGTCCATGGAATGTAAGATGAGCTTGAGAGTCTGAACTCTGAAGTTACAAGCCCCCTCTTCATGTCTGAGAATAGGTGGCAAGAAGCTTGGGTTCTCTCATACGGCAGGGCGGAGCTTAATACCTGCCTCTGCTACTGGTTAATCCTGAAACGATGGACAAGTAACTTAACTTCGCTGTGCCTCTGTTTTTTCTTCTGCTAAATAGTGATAACTGTCTCACAAATTGTCAGGATCACAAGAGAGTTTACATGCAGATTGCTTAGTGCATAGAAAGTGCTCAACAGGTGATCGCTGCTTGTTGTTTCTTTTTTATGATTTTATTTATTTATGTTTATTTTTTTGAGACAGAGACTCACTCTGTCACCCAAGCTGGAGTGCACGGTTACAGGTACTGCAGCCTCCATCTGCTGCGCTCAAGCGACCCTTCCACCTCAGCCTTCCAAGTAGCTGGAACTATAGGCATGCACCACCACACCCCGCTAATTTTTTTTATTTGTTGTGGAGACAAGGTCTTGTCATGTTGCTCAAGCCGGTCTCGAACCCCTGGGTTCAGGCAATACTCTCGCCTCAGCCTCCCAAAGTGCTGGGATTACAGGTATGAGCCACCACGCCTGACTATTTATTCTTTTGGCTCAGGAATTCACTCTGTCACCAAGGATGGAGTGCAGCGGCACAACCGGAGCTCACTACAGTCTCAACTCCTGGGCTGAAGTGATCCTTCTGCCTCAGCCTCCTGAGGTGCTGGGACCACAGGCATATGCCACCATGCCTAGCTAGCTTTTTCCCCCCCTCCCTCCAGAGGCTGCCCAGGCTGGTCTCAAGATCCTGGTCTCAAGTGATCATTCTATCTCAGACTCCCAAAGTGCTAGGATTACAAGTGTGAGCCACCACACCGGGTCTCATCGTTTCTTTTTACCTACACCCACTTCTCTTACGAGAATGAAACATCAGGTGAAACGGTTAAGGATCCTTCTCCGTCAACAGATGAATGCTTCATAAAACTGACAAATGGTCCGATCAGCCCAGGAATAAGGGGCAGGGTGCTTTGGGGTAAGATGTAAGAGAGTGAGCCTGCCACACAACTCCAGGAAGCAAGCAGGCTGAGTGCTAAAGGCAGCAGCCAGCTGGGCCCTTGAGCCCCAAGTGACCCCAGCAAAGAGCCACACAACAGTTAGCTTATCATCTTTCTTTTATTCAAATACATCCACAGGTGAATTCAGCAGTTTCGTTCCCCCTTAAACGCAGTTTACTCCTTTTCCCACCATCTCCCAGGCATCCTCTGAGAGTAGGTCCTCTGCTCAGTTCCACAGCGGCATGGAACTGAGATTGTGGAACCAAGTCACCACCACGTACCCGTCCTGCCCAATCAGGGCCTTTTGTCGGTAAGTCAACAAGGGGCACCCTTCAGACTCCATGACTTCTTCTCCTTCTGTTTGGGAAGGAGGAGCACAGGCCACAATATCCATAATATATTGTCCTCAAGTCAGGCCTCCAGAAAATCGAATCAGAAAAGGACAAGAAAAAAAAATTAAAGTGGAGGAAGAAGGCGATAGGGAGGTATAATTGGAGGTCACTTGCCAAATGCTTCTTACCTCGGTGGAAGGAAGCAAGGATGTAGAAAGCCCCTGGGCCCAGGCAGAGAGGACCTCAAGTGATCATTGACGGTAAGTCTGGAAGTCATTGAAATGGAGCGTCATCTTTCACGGATAACTACTCAGAATTCTGTTCAAGACTCGGGTCCAGAGAATCACAGGGATGGCAAATCAAACAGGTCTTGAGAATCAAAAGGTAGGTTTCCTTGAACTTCTTGATTTTATAGGCATAGACGATAGGGTTCATCATGGAATTAGCGTGGGACAGCAGGATGCCCAGGTACAGCGCAACCTCTGGTACCTCACCATTAAAGTAGATCATACAGTTGATGATGGATAAAGGTAGCCAGGACAGAGCAAACAGGAAGAGGACCAGAGACAGGGACTTAGCTGTCTTGAACTCCCGTCCATAGAATGCACCGGTCTCTTTGGAGCCAGAGAAGTTCTGGCTGAGTTTGTTCCGGATGACATAGAAGATATCGAGATAGATGGCACACATGACCACCAGAGGGATGAGAATCAAGGTGAAGAAGCTGACGTACACCATGTAGTCCATTCTCATGACCGAGCGGAACTGGCATGAAAGGAAGGTGGTGTTTTTGTGGTGCCCTGAGTTCAGTTTCATGTTCCAGCCAAACATGGGGATCAATCCCACCAGGAATGACACCAGCCAGCAAAGGCCCAGGGCCAGCCATATTCTTCTGTGAGTGGTGACCCTCCTGTATCTGTGTGAACGAAAAGAGCCAGTGAGTCCCCAGTAGGAATTGCTAAAAGGGTCAGGGAGTTGGAATGGGAAAGGAGACAGAGAGACAGAGAGATAGAGAGACAGAGAGAGAGAGAGAGAGAGAGAGAAAGCATATGCTCTCTCAATCTCCCAATCTCCCAGTTTTCTTTTAGGGGAGGAGAGCACTGGTAGTCCATGGTGATTCTCACTAAACTCTACTTGGATATGAAGACAAGATGAGCAGTGAGTAAAGTCCAGCAGACTTCTCTGGGAACCTTTCTAAAGAAGAACACTCTAGAATGGATGAGGAATCTCTTGTTTGGTGTCAGGTGTTGACATGCACCACTCAGGGCTCTGTTTCCAACCCAAGAGTTCTTCAGTTCCCCGGAGGCAAGACTCTTCTCATTCTTCTGGGAGCGCCCGCCTGGTGAGAAATGGTCTTCTCAAGGCATGCGCTCCCGCTGGGCTCTGTATGGCTTGGTTTAGCTGTCACGCAGCTGCTCATCGATTATACTGTGCCTCTCCCACTTGTGGGCCCCCCCCCCCCCGCTTCTCTATTTGCGTGGGCACCCGTACTTGGTGTTGGAGTCAATGAAGTTACAAAGGTCGTGTCTAAGGGCTTCAGGGACCATCAAAAACATGTCCAGTAAGAATCCCCATTGATCCCTTAACCGCACTTCCTGGAAACTTACAGACTACAAGAAGGAAACTTATATAGCTAAGTAACAATGCTGTACCAAGTACATTTTATCTCAATTAAATCTCACACCAAACTGGAGATATTTTGTGATAATCTCCACTTTACGGCTGGCAATCTTGAAACTGGAAGTAATTATAGCCAGCATCGGTTGAGCATAGACCGTGTGCCAAGAATTTTTTTCTAAGAGCTTTACGTATGTTAACTCATTCATGTTATGAGGAAAGTACAATTATTATCTCCGTTTTATAAGTAAAAGTGAGAAACACAAACAAGTAACTTACACAAGCTAGAAATAAGTGATAGGGCTAAAATTGAAACATGGTGTCCGAGCTCAAGATATCTTAACCATGGTGATACAGATGAGGAAACTGAAGGAGAGAGAGTTAAGGAACTTGTCCAAGATCAGAGCTCAAGATCAGCAATTTGAACCCAGACTTGTTTATATCCAACGCCTGTTCGTAGCTTCCTCTCCTGCCTTTTCCTCAAGAGAAAAGCGGAGAAACGACACCGATGCAATTTAGGACACCCAGGGAATTCGATTCCACCATTTGGCAGTCTGCTCTCTTCAAGAGGAGAAGGAGGAGGAGGAGAAGGAAAAAATACATATTCTAATAATCCCTCTCTCAACATTGGGGTAGACAGAGACCAGGGAGCAAAGATAAAATAATAACCTACATTTGCAAAGCAACGGAATCATCAGTTTATCTCCTCTTATCGGCTTGCTTCTCCTAAAAGAGTAAATCTTATCTCGTAGGGTTCTGTCGTTCCTAAAACTCAAGGGCATTTATTCGTCCAGTAAGTAAAGATGCATCAAGGCTTCATCATTTTAGCCGGGGATCAGTAATTAGAGCTGGGGGCACTGAGCCTCTGCCAGCGTCAGTGGCGGGGGATGGGAGCACCCCTCCGGTTCTAGTCCCCGGGTCCCGGCTCATCCTTGCTAAGCTCCTCACGGGCCATACTGCAACAAGACATACACTGCCCTCTTTCAACCTCAAGGGCCCAGCCGGATTCATTTTTGCTCAGAAGGGCTGGGATGGGCGCTCTGCAGCTCCCTTTCCCTCTCCCTGCCCCGCCCCGCATCCGCTCTTGCCCTGCAGGCTACCTGACCGTGAGCTTGACCCGCAGGTATCGGTCCACAGCAATGGCCAGCAGGGACATGATGGAGGCGTGGGTGAAGACCAACAAGAGGCAGGCCATGAAAAGGCAGCTGTAGAAGTGGATTGTGATGCCCAGGCTGACCACAACGGCCAGCGGCATGACCAGCACCCCGACGGCAATGTCAGCCAGGGCTAGGGAGACGATGAAATAGAAGGTGGTGGTCTGCAGGCTGGCGTTCAGCTTGACCACCCAGATGACCAGCACGTTGCCCACGATGGCGCAGAGCCCGATGAAGATGTCCACGGTGATGTAGGTGACGCTGGCCAGCGACAGGGCGGTGCTGTTGACCAGCATCTCGCCTTCCCAGGGGAGCCCCCAAGGCCACAGGTGAGCTGGCGAGATGCCTCCGTGTGGCCCAGACGTCTCCCCAGAGGTCCATGTGCAGCGACAGTGTAAAAGTCACAACTCCCTCAATTCCTTCTCTTCTCCGGCGGGGCAATGTCTTGGAGACCGCCCTCCTTAGAAGGGGCTCGTCCGCAGGGTGGACACCACCAGCACCCTTTTGGGCCACATCCCCTAGCACCCAGAAGCTGGGAGGACAGTTCTGTGTGGACCGAATCTGAAAAGTGCTGTTGGTCTTGGCTTTCCAGACACCCTCAAAGCCTCTCCGCCTTCCCCTGCCCCCAGATGACTCTTTGAGCTCTGTCAAGATAAGCAACCCTCTTTCGGGGACGTTTCAGGAAGTGAGATGGGCCAAGAGGAAGTACAGGGCCAGAAACTCTCAGCAAAAAGATGGAAAGAGCAGAGGAGGGGGCGTGACGAAGACTCGTGTGCCATTTCATTCGGGATCCAGAGGAGGAGACGGGACCAGGTGTGGGAAGGAGCCGGAAGCACCGTCGAGGCAATATTCCTGCTTTCTGCTGGCTCAGCAGAAAGATTCCACGATCAGGAGGGAAAGGGGGAAGCGGAGGAATAAGAAACAGACTTTGGTGGCAGCCTCCCAACCTCGGCCAGACCCATTCCCGTCCAGGGCTTAACGACCATCGAGCACAGAGAAGTTGGCTGCATGGGTTGCCGCCTCGCAGAGCATAGCCGGCACGCAGCCTTCGCAACAGAGATCCTCTGTTAAAGGACAAGCCAAAAGACGCCCTGCTCAGAGGGGCAAATACCCAGCACCTCCCAGAAGCATGGCCTCTGCTCTGCATCTCTGCCTCTCTTTCTCAGCCCACCGTCCCCGCTCCGCCCAGTGTCACACGCCCTCGCCCTAGCAGTCAGCCCCCGTCAGCCCTATTTGAGGAACATCAGGACAGCGGGATGGCCAGACACACAGAAAGGAGGGAAAAGGCAACGTGTGCACACGGTCACATGGCGGATCCTGCCACCCACACTCCCCGGGCCTCAGCCCCACCCCGTGGGAACCAGCATCGGTCCGGCTGCAACTCAGAGCCCTTTCCCTGAAGCTGCTCCCTTCACCAGCTTCCCAGAACCCAATGCTCAGATGCAATTGCCACTTGGGCAGGCCACCTGGCCCAGGTGCTTCTCAGCACTGCACAGAGGGGTTATTTTGACCAGGCGTGTAAGAGAGATAGCAGGAAGGAAATCTTGGACCTATGAAGGAATGCATGGACCTAAGGCCCCCCCAGTGGATTGAAGGGCTTATCACTTTCACCTTAAGCGCCTGTATATGTACAGACAATATCGTTCACCAATAACATCGGTGGTGGTCTGATGTTTACTAACAAATGCCTCTTTTTTTTTTTTTTTTTTTGAGTCGGAGCCTCCCTCTGTCGCCCAGGCAGGAGTGCAGTGACACGATCACGGCCAATACAGCCTGGACCCTCTGGGCTCAGGCAATCCTTCCCCCTCAGCCTTTCAAGTAGCTGGGACTACAGGCGTGCACCACCACGCCTGGCTATTTTTTTCTTTATTGTAGAGATGAGGCCTCACCACGTTTTCCAGGCTGGTCTTGAACCCCTGGGCTCAGGCTGTCCTCTCCCCTCCGCTTCTGCAAGTGCTGGGATTACAGATGTGAGCCACCGTGCCCAGCCTGCAGCTGCTTTCTTTATCTCTGCTTCAGAGGAGGAAGTTATCAAGTGCAATTTCTAGGAGCGGGGCAAGCCTTTCTCACTATATAGCAATCTTTGAACCTTGGTTAATCATCCCCCTCACGGGCGTGGTAGCTCACACCTGCAAACCCAGCACTTTGGAAGGCTGAAGCGAGAGTATTACTTGAGCCTAGGAGTTTGAGACCAGTGTAGGCAAAATATAAAAAATTTGTTTAAATGAGTTGTGCATGGCGGCGCATGCCTGCAGTCCCAGCTACTTAGTAGGCTGAAGCAGAAGGATTGCCTGAGCCCGGGAAGTCGAGGCTACGGTGAGCCATGATGGTGCCACTGTACTCCAGCCTGGGTAACAGAGTGAGACCTCCACTAAACAGACAAACAAAACCCTCCCCCATTCCAGTACACAGATGAGTTCTCTAGGAACCTTGCCCATCTCTATTGGACTGGAGAAACCAAGGAAAGGGGCTCGTGTCCAAACATGACATTGTAGGCAACATAATGCATAACCCACCGGACAGCCGGATGACCAGGCACAGGAAGGAAGGGAAAGGCAACGTGTGCACATAATCGCATGGGGCATCCCACCACCCACACTCCCTGGGCCTCAGCCCACCGGTGGGAACCAGCATCTGTCTGTGCACCAGAGCCCTTTCCCGGAAGCTGCTCACCGGGTCACCAGCTTCCTGGAACCAGACACTTGGATGCAATTGCTGCTTGGGGAGGCCACCTGGCTCAGATGCCTCTCAACACACAAAGGGGTTCTTTGGACCAGGTGGTGTGGGGCTCATGTCTATAACCCCCGCACTTTGGGAGGCCGAGGCTGGAGGATTGCTTGAGCCCAGGAGTTCAACACCAGCCTGGGCAACATAGTGAGACCTCGTCTCAACAACAACAACAAAAAAATCAAAATATTAGCCAGGCGCAGTGGTACACGCCTATATCCCAGCTTCTTGGGAGGCTGAATTGGAAGGATCGCCTGAGCCCAGGAGTTCGAGGCTGTAGCAAACTGTGATTGTGCCACTGTACTCCAGGCTGGGTAACAGAGTGAGACTCCAACTCAAAGTTTAAAAGTAAAAATAAAAAAAGGATCACCCTAAGTCGGGCGCAGTGGTTCACACCTGTAATCCCAGCACTTTGGGAGACAGAGGCAAGAGGATTGCCTGAGCCCACGGGTTTGAGACCAGCCTGGGCAACTTGGTGAGACCTCATCTCTACAATAAATAAAAAAATGTTTTAAAAAGCTGGGTGTGGTGGCGCATGCTTGTAGTTCCAGCTACTTGAAAGGCTGAGGTGGAAGGACTGAGCCCGGCAGGTCAAGGCTGTGGTGACATGCCACTGCACTCCAGCCTGGGTGACAGAGTGAGACTCTGACTCTAAACAAAAAAAAAAAAATCACCCACTAAAGAGAAGAGAGGCAGGGGATACACTCGGGGCCACCAACCTAGCCACCTCTGCCCAACTAGGCATTCTACTTCCAGAATCTTCTGCAAATATTGCAGGGGTTTCTTTTCTGTGAGCAAGAAAGTCTTGCCTTCATGTTTTCTGCATAGACAGGTTCTTCCTGGCTGGTGGGGAATGGGAGGCTTGAGAGAGCACGGTAAAAACTTTCACGATCACTTAATATTTTGGCCAAAGACTGGGTCCTGATGCCCTTTTCACTCCAGTTTGAAAACAAAAAGGCAATCTGGTCAAGAAGACAGAGAAGCCCGGACGGAAGGCCACCTCACCGGCCCCTTCCCACACCCGCGCCTATCACCCATTTTTGTTTTTTTGAGTCGGTATCTCACTCTGTCTCCCAGGTTGGCGTACAGTGGCACGACCGTAACCCGCCGCAGCCTTGACCTCCTGGACTCAGGCAATCCTTCCACCTCAGCCTCCTGAGTAGCTGGGACTACAGGCGTGCGCCACCAAGCTCGACCAATTTTTAAAATTTTTTGTAGAGATGAGGTCTGGCTATGTTGCTCAGGCTGGTCTCAAACTCCTGGGCTCAGGTAATCCTCTTGCCTTGGCCTCCCAAAGTGCAGGGTTTACAGGCGTGAACCACTGCATCAGGCTTACCACGCTAAACATCTTCTATTTACAGACTCATCCAATGCTCTCTGACACTCTCTGATGAAATAGATACTGTCATCAGTTGCTGAGGAAGCCGAGAAGGGTCAGTAACTCTCCCAGGGTTGCACAGCCAGGAAGGGGCATTCACAGCAGTCTTCTGCTTCAAAACCAGGATTCGGGACGGCAGCCCTCGGTCCGTGAAAGGGCAAATGAACAAACACACAATGTTTTCACAAGGGCAAGGAGTCTCTGGGTTTGATGTTGCCATATTATCAATGTCAGGAATTCAGCATTCTTGGATCCGGAGAAGAAAGTGACCCCCAAGACTATGAGAACAAAGCACAGATAGGTAGATTCAGTAACTGCCCCGAATCAGGAAGAGACAGCAGAACCAGAAAGAGGATTGCACAAGCAGGAACTCTGGGCCAGAAAGAAATCCATCTGTCGGCGCAGGGTGCCAAAAGCACATTTTTTAATAAGAAAATAAGAGGCGGTGTGTGGTGACTCACACCTGCAATCCCAGCCCTTTGGGAGGCTGAGGTGGGAAGATTGCTTGAGTCCCAGAGTTTGAGACCAGCCTGGGAAACACAGTGAGCCCTAGTGGCTACAAAATTATTATTTTTTTAAATGAGCCGAGAGTGGTGGTGGGCGCCTGTAGTCTCAGCGGCTGGAGAGGCTGAGGCAGGAGGATCGCCTGAGGCCAGGAGGGCGAAGTCATGGTGAGCCAGTGATGGTGCCCCGTCACTCCACCCTGGGTGTCAGACAGGGTGAGACTCCGACTCCCCAGAAATAAAATCGATGAGATGAAATAAATTATGGGCGAACTGCAGTTCAGGAGAGCTCCCCGCCTGAAAGGAGCACCCTGGCTGTTTTCTGTTCCACTGAAACCATCCGAACTCCACTAGGGAGGATCTGGGAGGGACCCCGGGCCTGAATCGCAGGAAAAGCCACCGGGGGAAGGGGCCGCACCTGTC